TCTTCCCTCTCCCTCCCCTCCTCTCCCGGCTTCCCCAACTGGCGCTCCCCCTCCCTCCCCTCTCTGGCCGGGAACCCCGTCTTCTTCGTCGGCGACCACCAGATCTCGTTCTGCGGCCTCGACCTCGCCGACTTCTTCGTCCGCTTCCTCCGTTCGCCCCAGCTCCACCGCTCCAACTCGCTGCCGCACGGCGACTCGCTGCCGAGGAACTCGCTGCTCCCGGATGCCTGCCTCCTCATCCCTCAACCTAATCTTCAAATTGTACCACGAACTGTGTGATCGAGCTCAGATCCCTTGCGAACTGGAGTTCGATTCGGTGTCTGACAAGGCCGGGGGCGCTTAGGGTTTCGGATCTGATGGCGCTATTTGCGATTTGCTGGGCGATGGAGAGGTCTTGGAGGGTTGGGAATAGGAATGAAGCTGCTGGGGCTGTTCCCGATTTCAAGCATTTGGTGATGTCGGTGTTGGTGGTCAGTAGAGAGGTTGAAGACGACGAGAGGATCTGGGGGTGTGAGGTTTTGGGGATGGATCGGAGTGTTTCCGCTCAGAAGGTGTAGCTGTGGGTGATGAGCAGCTGTCGGAGAGGCTCGGGGTTAATCTCTGGCTCAAGAGGGAGGACTTGCATCCAGTTTGTTCCCTAAACCACATTCTCTAATTCACTTGTTTCTCACTGCAAAGTTTCAATCTTTAAATTTATTTGTTTTATAGTGAATTTTGTTCTTAATTTGATGTGCAATTAAGATAATTGATGCCATGTGGATCATTTGTTGATGATTCGTCATTTAAGTTTAAGATGTTACTTTAAATTTGATCTTATTACAGGATGCCTTAAAACAACTCTGGAGGTTGGCTTTTCCTCATCGAGAACTTCCTCCTCTCAAATCGGAGTTATGGAAGGAGATGGGTTGGCAAGGTCCTGACCCATCAACAGATTTTAGGTACTTGAAATCTGAACAACCTGTTTGAGATATATATGTTACTTTTGTGGTTCTCGGTTGAATGTTAGATATTGAAACTTTTCTTTTCAGGAGTGGTGGATTTATCTCCTTAGAGAACCTTATATTTTTGGCCGAGAAGTATCCAGTAAACTTCATTTATTAAATTGATGATCTTGTTTTCTTTCTAAGAAGCATCCTTGAGCTCCATCTCTTCCTATTGCAACAATCTTTTCAAAGACTTCTACACAAACAAGATGGAAAGAGGTCTGAATGGGAATACCCTTTTGCTGCAGCTGGCGTCAATGTATCCTTCATGTTGACTCAAATGTTGGGCCTGAAATCTGGTAATTTTGGATCTTACACCTAGGAACTCAAATGTTGAAGCATTCTGAGTCTTAGCAGGCACTACTTTTTCAAGAACTGGAGCTCGATTCATTGAATTGCTTGAAGCTGATGAGATGGCCTTTGACAATCTCTATTGCGTAGCTTTTCAGTTGCTCGATTCAAAATGGGTTTCAATGCATGCTTCTTATATGGAGTTCAATGTAATATTAACATTCTATTGTTGTTTCTCTCTGGATGATTATCAAGTTTCTATTCTGATTCTACCCTTTTAATGTATTTTTGCAGGAAGTCCTAAAATCTACAAGAACACAGCTTGAGCATGAGCTTGGTTTAAAAGATATTTCCAGAGTGGAGGACCTGCCAGCATACAGTGTGTTAAATCGGTAGTACATGGTTAGTTTTGATAACTATTGTTTTGTTATTAATTTCTGATATTGTCTGATTATAGTTTTATCTTGAGTCCTGATATAAGAGTCTTATCTCGAGTCCTTGATTGTATGTCTCTATATAAACCATTGAAAGCTTATTAACTTGACCACGAAAGTGATCATATTCATATGCATATACCAAGGTAACTCAGTTAATCCTCAAGTCTTGCTAGTTCAGCAATGATGCGAACTTGTTTTGCTTATCAATATATAACTTCATAGTCCTGGGCCTTCTGGCGTTGTTGGTCTTTTTTTTTCTTCTGATTTTGCATCTTGTATTGGTTTTATTAACATGCAAACAATCTAGTTGTGTCAATACTTGGTAGCTACTTGTTTATCAGATTGACAATTTCATAGTTCAGACGTATATTTTTGGATATGTTCAATTTTCACGGTCTTGTTGATTTTTCTGCTGTATTCTTTAGGTTTATCTCTATCTTGTTCACTACTACAGCTGGTTTGTACACATGGCATTTGTTTATGTTAATTGTCAGCTACCAAGTAGGTCTATTTATGACTAATACCACCTACAAAGGACATTTAGCTTTGGTCATTTGAGTTCACATCTTTCCCAACTACTTAACTAGTATATCCCAACCAATGAGTGTACCATTTCTTTAAAAACATCTGTAAATGGTTTTACTGCTGGAAACTTTCTTATCTTCTGATGAGTTTCTAGTGCAGGTTAACCAACATGATGTTCACTCACTACTCTTAGGATGGTTGTTATCAAAACTGAATGTAATCAAACTGTACCTTATAAATTGCGCTCGTTACTGATGGACATTTTTATTCCTATTGATCTAGGGTGTGCCTAAAGTCTCTCATCAAAATGATCTGCCAGTTGTTATCCAACATTGAAAATAAATCATGTTATCTAATTTTCCTGAAAATGACCATCTTGAATGTTACATCCAGGCTTGTAAACGTAAACTATCAGTGTGTTTTATCGATAGTAAATCGAAACACACCATGCTAAGATGTGCCAAGATGCCTCTTGTTGGTCCTTGAGAAAATATTGAAGCTTTTGTAAGGCGAGTAAACCATCTTCTCAATTTTTTTGTTTGTTGATGTCTTGCAAGAAAATTCAAATCAGAAGAGGAGGAGGGAGGGGGGGGATTGTGCACATAGTTGTTACTCCCTCAATTGGTCAGTCATTCTTAATGTTTTGTTGAACCAAATGAATGTAAAGCTTGTGCTTTTGGAAAACCCCGGCTCAGTGGAGAAATAAAGATTGATGAATGCTGTGCTGTAAAGGGTGCTTGTTTATTTGTTACCAAGCAGATGAGATAACAACAAATCTATAAGAACTGAAAGGAACTCAAATAGATTATTAATCATGTATCGATGAATTACATACTTTCCTAGAAGTGTCATAGCCATTGTAAATAATTTATGTAAACGTTTGTAAATAATTTATGTATTTCTCTACAATTTTGGTGAATGTATTATTTGAATATAATTGGATTTGATATTGGAATTAATTAGATTGTGTTGGATATGAATATAATTTTTTGTTATTCAATATTGTGTACATAAACTCAAAGTAGATTCTGCAAAAAAAAACTACTGTAGCATAGTATCCTAGACGGAAATTCCGTCTAGGATGCTAAATTTCCGTCTAGAATACTTTTTAAAAATTAAACAAATAAAAAAATTTAAAAAATCAAATTCCGTCTAGAATAAGATTTCTAGACGGAAATTTCCGTCTAGAATACTTATTCTAGACGGAATTTTTTTCCGTCTAGGATAAATTATTCTAGACGGAAATTCCGTCTAGAATAATCCGTCTAGGATGTATTCTAGACGGTTTTTAATTCCGTCTAGAATATTCCGTCTAGGATGTATTCTAGACGGAATTTCCGTCTAGAATACTACATACTAGACGGAAATAAACTAGACGCGTATTCTAGACGGAATTCCGTCTAGAATACGCATCCTAGACGGAATTCTGGGTATCCTAGACGGAATTTTCCGTCTAGGATGCCTCAAATTTTAGCAGTGATTCTAATTTTGTTAGTATTTTGTTGTCTTAGTATTCTTATTAACTATATAATATGCGAATGACTTGTAAACTAATATCGTGTTTATTAGTGTCGAAGAAAGAGTTGGACGTAGTTTTTCGGTTCTATTTAATATATTCCTATGAACAGGGTCTCTCACCCTGTTTTTCAGCTCAAAAAAAAAAAGTTGGACGCCGAAACTGATGTTGGTTTCCCTTTAAGAAAGTTAATAAAATCTAATCAGTTTCGGTGGAAATTATAGTGCAAAACCATAAAGGAATAAAATAATTTACCTTCCTCAAATTGTTTAAAATATTTTCCTGCTAAAAAAGTTGTTCGCAAGAATATTTATTTTGAAAGATAACTTCTTTTATTTTTGTAATTATTAACCATCTTAAACAGATCCAATCCACTGCAGCTAAATTTTTTGGAAATGTGATATACCCACTGAAAATTATTTAATTAAGGGTCAAAAGTTCCAAAATTATTTTGTGAGTGCCACATAGATATTTCAGAACAGAATTCACGCATAACTTAAGGTACTTTAACTATTAACAACTTTAGGACATAAAAGTGCAAAGTAGAATAATGCATAAGGTATTTAAGTGCTAATTAGCCATAAAGTTTTGGTTTTACCCGATATTGTTCCCTTACACATTTGTTGTTTACTAACCGCTACTTTAACTGCTTTTAACTTGAAAAAACCCATAAAAATCAAAATTGCAAACTAACCTCGTCTTATCTCCTCTAGTGGTAAATTTTTTTCCCTGGGGTATTAGTAAATTTTTTCCCTTTGGTGTCCTTTCTTTTGTCTCTTAATTAGGCACCTTTCATTAGCTTAACGCGTGCATATGGTCAGAAGTTATGATTGTTAAAGATAAGTTTCACAAAACTACCTTGAGATATTTGGGATTTTGTGGGATTTCTAATCTACTGCCAAAAATACATCCTTAGATAATGGGGTTGCACAACCTGTTCGGCAAATAAAAACAATTATCACAGATACATGAAAGTTTTGCTTATTTAAAACAGTTACATGAAAGTTTGAAAGGAGATTTTGGCATGTACTGTGTCTCTTGTTATTCACTGTTGAAACCTATTAGAAGTTTTGCTTATTTATTTATTATTTCTTTGTTAATTGCTATTATGGCATGTAAAGTCGAAATTATTGTTAATCTCATCTCATCTTGTTCGAAGTTTTGAGTTTTGCACTTGACATCTCTTTCTGGGTAGTTTTATGTCACTTGATCACTAGTAATTTGTTCTACTATTTCCGATCTTTTTAGTAGTTGTTTATAACCTTCATAATTTCTAAGATGATATTGTATGATAACAAGTCAACAAGTTATATAAGCAATTGAGGTCACCACTTGATCTTTGATTTTCTACGAGGCTCGCACTACACGTCAATGCTGACCATCCAAATTATAGTATGATAATTAACTAAATTAATCAGAAAACTTAAAAGACTTTTAAGATGCACAGTTTGTTATTATGTTTAGCTCTTTTCTTTTAGCAAGTGCTACTTGTAGTTCTTTACAATATGATAATTTTATTTTATAAGTTTATTGCATGTTGATGTATGAGACGGTTCATATTCAGTAGACTAACGTGTTATAAACATCTATCCTCATATGTCTGTTGTATGTTATTTGGTACCGTCTTATGCTTCGTTTCTACTACTCAAATTTGACATTTTGTATGCGTGTGTGTATGCGTGCGTGCATGCACGCGTGTATGCGTGCATGCATGCGTACACGCATGTACGTGTGCGTGCGTATACGCGTATGTGCATGTGGACGTATGAGCATGTACGCGTACATACGCGTATGGTGAGAAAATTGTGTGTGTACGAGTACGCGTATTGGGCTAAGACCTCTCTCTATCTTGCTATTAGGTAGGAGTAGCTTTCCTTGCGGGGTTAGGGTGTGTGCATGCGTTGTTGTAAAAATTGTGCGTGCGTGCGTATAATACATAAGAATATGCCATGATACTCTCTCTTATTGTTATACTTGAATGTCATGCCATGTTGTTAACGTTTGATTTATATTTGCAGGCTGGGACTTCTAGACAATGTGGAGCTGATGATGAGGAGGACGATGATGATGATCAGGAGGACTGATTTGTTTTTTTACCTTTGAAAACAATGAATGAGTGTGTTGTATAAACAATATTTATCATGGTGTGTGCTTTATAAACAACGTTTATTATGTTGGGATATTTTAATTAAATTATATGTGTTATATATGCATGAGAATGAATATTATACTGCTGATTGAACAGGTTTTTAAATTTATTATATTATTGTACAGGTTTTTTTGATTTTTCAATTATTTTTAAAAATATATTGGAAATATTTAGCGACGGATAGGCCGTCGCTAAATAGACTTTTAGCGACGAAAAACAGATACGGGGACAAACATTAGCGACGGATTTTTCGTCGCTAACGTTAATGGCGACGGAAAATATGACTTATTTATTTTTTAGTTTTTTTAAAAGCTAGTTATAGCGACGGATTTGCCGTCACTAATTGTTTTTGGCAACGGAGTTTCCGTAGCTAAAAGTTATTTTAGCTACGGAAAATCCGTCGCTAATGTTTTTTTTTTTTTTAAAAAAATAAGTACGACGGATTATTCGTCGCTAATTTTCCGTCGCTGAAATTTAGCGACGGAATATCCGTCGCTAAAAACGATTTTAGCTACCCTCACTGTACTGACGGTTGTTTGGCGACGGAATTTTATTTTTTCCGTCGCTAAAGAGTTTAGCGACGGATTTTTGACTTTTAGCGACGGATTTGTCCGTAGCTAAAAGTCCTGTTTCTAGTAGTGTTAGTCCTAAAAAATTTGAGTTATTTAACACCGAAATAGAATTATAGGCAAATACTTAAAAAAATGGAAGAGTAGAGCACTAGAAACATATATATTCAAAATTTTAAGAATTTCCTAATGATTTTTCAACTATTAAAGAATTGTGAAGTTTCTTAGGTTTGCTAAACTATGGAAGAAAATTCATACCCCATCCTTCAGCAAGAATTAAAAATTTACAAAAGAAACTTACCTGAAATGCAAGCAAAATATAAACAAGAAAATGGTGAACAACCTAGAAGATGGAATACTAATAAGATCAAAATTACTCTAAAGAATTTTCAAAGAACAGAAATTAAGAAAATAATAGATCTAATTATAGATCAAAAAATCTCATACTATCCTATAGATACAAATTTCATTATTTACAAACCAATGTTTCTGATCTTTTTTGGGCAGGAATAATTATTGTCAAAACAAAAGAAAAAATATAGAGGCAGTAGTTTATGCATCTAAAAATTTTAAAAAGACAGAACAAAAACATGTTACTTATGACAAAGAACTTCTTGATATAAAGTTATCTATAAGAAAAATAAAGATATATCCTCTTGACATAAACTCGATTATTAAAACTGATAATAAAGTAGTATCCCATTTAAAAAAAACTACTAATAATATTGAAGAAATTTTTAAAAGGATTAGAATTGCTATGTATTTACAAATCTACTCTTACGATGTCAAATATATCCCTACATATATTGATTTTATAGCAGATCTATTTTCCAGGCCATGTCTGCCAAGGACCTAGGAGAAAGAGTGCAAAAGATACGGAAGGATCATGACGAGTCAATGAAGAGGCTCAATGAGGAATGAACAACAAAAGGGAAGAAAGCTAAAGCCAGTTATTCTCAAAACAATTTATCCACAGATGAAAAGGAAATTCCTATAGGTATTTGTCAAAATATGAATTCAATAGGATTCAGGCCCACTAGCCTTGTAAGACCCATTGTTTTACGACCTATAGGTTAGAGTTTTCGACCCAATGGTCAAACAATACGACCCATTGGTCCAGCTTCTTTCCTTAAAGCTACCATAAAAGTATGGTATGGTAGGGAATTGAAAATCAAAATTCAGAAGATTATGAACTTCTAAATGGCATTTTCAAAGCTGTTCAATAGGGGAAAAATAGAACTATAAAGTTTTACTTGGTATAGCTAAATGAAAAATTAAAAGAAAATATATGGTCAGTACAACAAAAAATAGAGGATATCAAGGTAGAGAGAAAGTAGAAAATGTGGCAAAATATTTCTCTACAATGAATTCTCTAGCCTTGATAAGAAACGTGAGCAACATGTTTGAGAGCTACTTGTTGGACAGTGGGAGAGTACAAAGGGTACATGTGAAGAGATAGCCACCACGTGAAGAGATAATTTGTTTCAAAAGCAAGTGGGGGCCACAAGCTTTGGAGAATTGAACATAGCCAGCGGTTTTTTGAGGGAAACTTGTGATTAGCTTTGTTTTTTGGACACGGCCCACCCGATTGACCATTCATGCCTATTAATATCCTAAGGTTGCCTAGGGTTTTCGGTGGCAAGCAGCAAGGTGGGTCTTTGTTTC